CGGAGAATGAATGGGCCGTCGTAGGCCCAATATGAAAATAGGGCTCATTTAACCAACAGGTCTTTTGTTCGAACCGTCTCCGCGCCACCTTTTGAAATTAATTAAATTTGTGGTTAAATTGTAAGGTTATCCATTAAATTTGTGGTTGACTTTTTAAAAGATTTAATGGACATTTAATTTTTTTTTTTTAAGGTTTTATGTTTAGTTTTTTAAGGTTATCCATTAATTAAATTACAACGTGGGACTCCTTCCTACCTAACAATCATGATGAACTAAGCTAATCTGCTTAATATATGACAGGTGCATTTAGACTACCTTGATGCTGGTGCCAATATCATTACCACAGCATCTTATCAGGTTCGTTTCTTCACCCATTTCATTGTTCTAACACTGTTTTACAGCTTCTTATTGTTTAAATTGTTGCTACAATTGTTCTTGAATACTTGTTTGGTTATTACTCTAGATTCAAAAGGTTAAGAAACCCATGATTCCATTGTGTTTGCAGGCAACAATCCAGGGTTTTGAAGCTAAAGGATTTTCTAGAGATGAGAGTGAAGAATTGCTAAGAAAAAGTGTTGAAATTGCTCTTGAAGCTCGTGAGATCTATCTCGAACGATGTACAAAGGATTCTTGGGATTGGACTGCAACTGAAAGGGGCTCGACGAGGCCGATTCTTGTAGCCGCCTCGGTCGGCAGCTACGGAGCTTATTTGGCTGATGGGTCTGAATACAGGTGAGCAAAATCTCAGCATAGTCTTAGAATGGACTTCAATGGTTGCAAATTTGAGCTGTGGTTGTACCTTTTTACAGTGGGAAGTATGGTGATTCAGTTAGTTTAGAAACCCTGAAAGATTTTCATAGGAGAAGGGTGCAGATTTTGGCCAATGCTGGTGCTGATTTAATCGCGTTCGAGACGATTCCGAACAAGTTGGAAGCTCAAGTATGAAAATGGTGTTGGCAACTAGTTGCCATTGTTGGTGTTGGCAGGGTTCCTCCTTGTTTAAGTTCTTTATGCTGTTTATGTGGAATTTGCAGGCATATGCTGAGCTTCTTGATGAAGAGGGCATTGAAATTCCTGCTTGGTTTTCTTTCAACTCCAAGGATGGTATCAATATGGTGAGTGGGGATTCTATTACTGATTGTGCCTCCATTGCTGATGCTTCGAAGCGAGTTGTTGCTGTGGGAATCAACTGTACTCCTCCCAGATATATTCATGGACTAATCTCGTCGATTCGGGAGGTAAATTCCTCGAATACCCTTTTATGGCTTCGGAGTTTGCAAGAGTTGTTCTACGTTCAAGTTGACATAACTTTAATGGAAATTTGAGGATTTGGGAATTAGTGTCTGCACAAATGAAGTCATTTCTATCTCTTGTAACAAGATTTATCAACCAAGTTTTCCATCTGCCTCTGTACTATTAAAGATGAATAGTATTCACGTAATAGCCCACCGCTAGTAGATATTGTCCTCTTTGAGCTTTTACTCCTGGACTTCCCCTCAAGGTTTTAAAACGCGTCTACTAGGTAGAGGTTTCGACATTCTTATAAGCAAGTACAACTGACGTGGGATTTCAGAATCCACCCCCTTGGGGGACCCAATGTCCTCACTGGCACACCGCCCGATATTTAGCACTGATACTATTTGTAATAAATAGTCCACCAATAGCAAATATTGTCCTTTTTGGGCTTTCCCTTTTGGACTTCCTCTCAAGGTTTTAAAACGCGTCTACTAGGAGAGAGGTTTCCACACCCTTATAAGGAATGCTTCGTTCTCCGGGATCTCACAATCCACCCCCTTGGAGGACCCAACGTCCTCGCTGGCACACCGCTCGGTGTCTAGCTCTGATACTGGTTGTAACAGCTCACTGCTAGTAGATATTGTCCTCTTTGAGCTTTCCCTTCTAAACTTCTCCTTAAGGTTCTAAAACGTGTCTACTAGGGAAAAGTTTCCACACCCTTATAAGGAATGTTTTGTTCCCCTCTCCAAACAATGTGGGATCTCACAATCCACCCCCTTGGGGGTGCTAGCATTTCGCTGGCACACCGCCCGATGTCTAGCTCTAATACAATTTGTAACAGCCCACCGCTATTAGATATTGTTCTCTTTAAGTTTTCCCTTCTAAACTTCATTTCAAGGTTTTAAAACACGTTTACTCGGAAAAAGTTTCCACACCCATATAAGGAATGCTTCATTCCCTTCTCTAACTGATGTGGGATCTCACAATCCACTCCCTTGGCGGACCCAACGTCGTCGCTGGCACACCACCCGGTGTCTGACTCTGATATCATTTGTAACAGTCCACCGCTAGCATATATTGTCCTCTTTGGGCTTTCTCTTCTAAACTTCCCCTCAAGGTTTTAAAACGCGTCTACTAGGGAGAGGTTTCCACACCCTTATAAAGAATACTTCGTTCCCCTCTCCAACCGACGTAGGATCTCACAATTCATGTTCCTTAAAATAGGAAAACACTAAGCCATAGCCACCTTTCTTCACTACCAAAGGCTTGTGCTAAGCCCCAGTCATAATAATGGACACGAGCAGCAGGAACAACATGGAAAGCAGTCTAATAATGGAAAAAGAACACTGAAAGCAGCCCTCAAATATGTTCATATTCTAAGTAAATCTTGTTCTCTAATTGGCAGGTCACTAACAAACCCATTCTGATTTATCCAAACAGCGGGGAGACATATGATGGTGAAACCAAACAATGGTTGGTGAGTGTCCTACTACTTTTCCTGTGTGTGTTCTTCGAACTTCATGGTTTCGTTCCTTCGTATACCACGACGGTCAGGTTCCCCCGTCCTCAATCACTTCTTTTATCTTTGCAGAAATCTGATGGAATGACAGGGGAAGACTTCGTATCATATGTAAGTAAGTGGAAGGAAGCAGGAGCCTCTCTGTTTGGCGGATGCTGCCGCACCACTCCAAACACAATCCAAGGTATAGCAAAAGCGCTTTCTTCTAAAGCCTTTTGAGCCGTTTCCCCTAATTAACAAGCTTGGTATGAACTATATCCAATATATCAGCTCTGTTTTAGATTATGGGATGAACATAAATTTTTGTAAATATTAAGGAAATGAAAGCTGTTCAAGAAATAAGTTGTTGATGTTCAAAGAATACTTGATTTGACTTGGGATGATAAATGATGAAGTTCCCACAAGCGTTTTCATGATGCAATAATTTGAAATTGATAGTGATTGATGGTTTCATTGCTAGCCACCAATTGCAAGTCCTAAGCCCAGAAAGGAAAATGAGTAGCCCATATGCTTGAAGACAATAGCAACCAGTACAAGTGTTAATTTCTATGAGTGGGTATTAAGATATACCAATCTTGTGCTGTTCCCTCTTTTGACTGCCTGATTAAATCCTTAGGATTTGGCTTTAGATTCTGTAGGAGGGAAAATAGGAGCTTATGTTGTTGGGTTGTGTAACAAGTATCATTGATGGCTAAGTCTGGTTGTCTTATTGGGTAGAGCCATGAGGCTTCCATCTATGTATCGAATATCGAATAAGTAACAAAGAACTAATTTCTATTGCATGAAGTTGTAACGGCCTAAGCCTACTGCTAGTAGATATTGTCTTTTTTGGGCTTTCCCTTTCGTGCTTCCCCTCAAGGTTTTTAAAATGCGTCTGCTAGGGAGAGGTTTCCACACCCTTATAAAGGGTGTTTCATTCTCCTCCCTAATCGATGTGGGATCTCACAATCCACCCCCTTTTAGGGTCCAGTGTCCTCGCTGGCACTCGTTTCTTTCTCCAATCGATGTGGGACCCCTACCAAATCCACACCCATCAGGGTTCAGCGTCCTCACGGGCCCTCGTTTCTTTCTCCAATTGATGTGGGACCCCCACCAAATCCACACCCCTTCAGGGTCCAGTGTCCTCGCTGGCACTCGTTTCTTTCTCCAATCGATGTGGGACCCCCACCAAATTCACACCTCATCAGGGTTCAGCGTCCTCATTGGCACTTGTTTCTTTCTCCAATCGATGTGGGACCCCCACCAAATCCACACCCCTTCAGAGTCCAGTGTCCTCGCTAGCACTCGTTCCTTTCTCCAATCGATGTGGGACCCCACCAAATCCACCCCCTTCGGAGCCCAGCGTCCTTACTGACACACTGCCTCGTGTCTACCCTCCTTCGGGGAACAGCCTCCTCGTTGGCACATCGCCTGATACCATTTGTAACGACTTAAGCCCACCGCTAGTAGATATTCTACTCCTTGGACTTTTCCTTTCAGGTTTCCCCTCAAGGTTTTTAAAAACGCATCTATTAACAAAAAGTTTCGACACCCTTATAAAGAATACTTCATTCTCCTCTCCAACCGACGTGGGATCTCACATATGATAAACGTAAGGATTCCTTAGACATTCCCTATGAACAAAATTTAATTTTGAAGTCAAAAAAGAAAAGGAAGAACAGTGAGGAGTATTCTTCTTTAGTTCTCCAAACATGGCCCAATTTTCCTCTTTACTTGATGTGATTATTCACATAAACACCGTCCTTTAAAGTGCTGTTCATCCCACACTTTTCTTTTCTCTTTCTTCTAAATTCAAATAACTCTCCCAACACCCAAACAAGTTATGAACGAAAATCAATCATTTTAGATTGATTAGACAGCCACCCTTGATATGAAAACCATTACACAATCAAAAATGTTCGAACCATTTCACAGAATTTTGTATTCATTTCTTGATTGATCTGCAATAGCTGAAATAAATGCATGAAGAAAGGATATCCATATGAATATTGGTTGCTGAGTTGATGAGTATAAATTTAATATGGTGTCCCAGCATTGGAATGTTCCACCATCAGCTCACTAAATTTTGTCGTCAGATTTACAAGTTTCCTCTAACTGAATTGACCACTGATAAGGCTCAATAATTATGAGCTTTAGGAATAAACCCACAACGAAAGGGACACCCTCTTTTGATGAATGATATGCATACCAGCAACAGTTAATCATAAAAAATCATACTTTTCTCACACCCATTTGTTCTTTTTTTTACTTTCAAGCATGAACAGATCATATTAATTACAGAAAGAAGTAAAATCTGAGAGACCCATTTGGGGAAGGTAAAAAAGGAACGGAATGGTTAAGTGGGTACCCCATATTCAAGCCAAAGCTTGGGGTTTGTGGCTTTTGCAACTGGTTTTGGTGGACCATAATGGGAAGAAGAAGGAGATTGAGATAGATGCAAACTCGCCTTCACTTCACTGGACCACTGATGTTGAATTTTTTCTTAAATTTGTAAGACTTAGCCATTTTCTCCAAGTTTGTATGCTCTTTCTGTTCTTCTTTTGGTTTGTTCTGCTAATTTGAGGGACAAATGAGTAGAAAACAGGGGAAATTGATTGGATTTCATGTCATTATATTGAACTTTCTTCCATTTGGGGAAGGAAAATCCCAGCTGGGGCTCTCTTTTTCTCGTTTTTCTGACCATAATTCATTAAATTAGAGAAAGAAAACAGAGGAGGAGGCAATGAGGGATGAGAATTCAAAGAAAAGCAAGGTGTTTCATCACTTTCTTTTACTTCAACAAGTCTTTTCCTTAATGGGTATTGATTTTTGTTTCTTTTAAACTGTTTGATGCAGCTCTCATGGTCCAAGAAAATGGTGACAAAATGGTTTAATATCAAAACTAGAACTGGAAGGGAGGATTATCTGGAAGATCATGGTGTTCATGAAGGTAAACGTCGAACGCTAGAAGATTTTGTTGGCTTCGTTTCGTTCCAATCGATGTGGGATCTCACAATCCTTATCCATCTATCTCTACAGAGAAATCTAGTGAGAGAGTAGAGCGTAGCCAACATGAACTTATGAATATCGACGATCCTCGTATCGTAGACGTACAGAACTATAGGTGTATATGATTCTTTCCTTTTAAACTACAGGTTTCTTCTTGTTTGTTGATCTGAAATTTAATTTGACAACCAGAAGTTTTATGTTTGTTTTGGGAGCAGCATTTTTGTTGCTACATGGAATGTTGGTGGCAGATCCCCTCCTAGTAATCTAAGTTTGGAAGACTGGCTTCATACTTCAGCCCCTGCAGACATTTATGTACTTGGGTATGAGTAGATTTGATGCATTTAAGGTTGTCATAAGAACTGAAACTTGAAAATTTTATCTACTTTTACAATGTTTCAGATTTCAAGAGATAGTACCATTGAATGCTGGTAACGTGTTGGGCGGGGAGGACAGCGGTCCGGCCAGAAAATGGCTAACGCTCATTCAGAAAACGCTAAACGATCTTCCCGGAACAGGAGATGAAGGGTGTTCCTACATGCCATCTCCCATCCCTGAGCCAGTCATGGAAGTTAATGATGATTTTGACGAATCATTGAGGCTGAAGAACTCATCTTACTTTCTTCGTCGATCGTTTCATACAACTAATAGTGGTGGATCATCAAACCAACTTGATAGAAGATTTAGCATCTCGAATCATGTGATGTTCGACCACCGGTCTAGTGACTACGAGTCGAGTTTCAGATGGGGACACAGGCTAAGTAACTATACCAGGAAAAGTGATTATTGTAGGCAAAGCAATGAGTCAAGGCCAAGTGATTACTCGAAATGGGGATCGTCCGAAGATGATGGATGTCATGGGGATTTGACTAGTGAAACGTTATATTCACCGCCGTTATATAATGGATCCACATCCAAGGAAGACGAACACGGGACGTCGGGACATTCACGGTATTGCTTGGTTGCTAATAAACAAATGGTTGGTGTTTTTCTCACGATATGGATCAGGAGCGAGTTGAAGGATAGCATACGGAACACGAAAGTATCCTGTGTTGGTAGAGGATTGATGGGTTACCTAGGAAATAAGGGATCAATTTCAGTCAGTTTGTCTTTGCATCAAACAAGCTTTTGCTTCATCTGTAGTCACTTAACCTCAGGACAGAAACAGGGCGATGAGTTAAGAAGGAATTCTGATGTGATCGAGATACTGAAGAAGACTCGGTTTCGGTCTGATCGAGCCTTTCCTCATCAGAAATCACCCCAAACGATCCTCGAGCATGAGTGAGTTTCTTCTCTCCAGTGTTCATTTGATCTATTCATGTTTTAGTATCGTTGTAGTAAGTTATGTGGAGAAAGTACACGTAAAAGTAACGAACCATGCACGCCTATGTTCGACGTTTAAGTATTTTTTAACTATGAGTTAATCTTCCAGTCGAGTTATCTGGTTTGGGGATTTGAATTACCGAATCGCTCTCTCTCACCGCTCGGCCAAGGCGCTTGTTGAGATGCAAAATTGGAGAGTATTGCTTGAGAATGATCAGGCATGTTTGTGTTTGTGTTCTTCCTGTGACATGTGGTTTTGTGTTCTAAATGCTTTGTTATTTAAACTGTTCCCTCCATTGCAGTTACGTAATGAGCAGATTTACGGTCGAGTCTTCGTTGGATGGAACGAAGGCAATATATATTTTCCACCAACTTACAAATACTCGAATAATTCAGACCAGTACTCCGGGGACGGTATGTACTGGAAGGAGAAACGTAGGACTCCTGCTTGGTAAGGATGCAACTTTAGTGCACCAAGAACAACTCCTCCTTGAGTTCTTATATCTGTCTGTTAATTTTGTGAAGGTGTGATCGGATTTTGTGGTATGGGGAAGGTCTCCATCAGTTGTCGTATGTTCGAGGTGAGTCCCGGTTTTCGGATCATAGACCTGTTTATGGCTTGTTTTGTGCTGAGGTAGAGTCAAACCGTGGCGAATCAAAGAAAAACATGGGTGGTAGTTCTAAGGTTGATGTGGAGGAGCTCCTACCATACTCTCATGGATATACTGAGCTGAACTTTTACTGAAAGAGTGTCATGAAACAGTAATACATTGCAGCCACGATACTCTTCGAACGGTTCTCAGAAAGCTTTCATGTCCAGAAAGCGGGACGGTCGGTATGTTCCTCTGAATGCTGGTTTTCTTTTGGCTTACCTCTCTTCCTTATCCTTGTTCTTCTCATCAGGTGATCCACAGTGGTTTCCAACAGATCATGACCTCAAATAATCAAAACTCCATTAGTTCCGAGTCTTTTGCAGGTATGGTATGGTTTGTACCATCGTTTTTTGCTTAATATGAATCAATAGATTGTGAGAATGCAGCTATAATGGCGTGCTTTTGTATAGGTGATTCATTGGTAGATTATGATGATCATGATTTTATTCTGGGCTCAAACTCCAGCCGAAGATGGTTCAGGCATTCTGAAACATATGGAACAACAAGTTTTGACGAGTTTTTCTGATAGAACCAGGAACAAGGTTTGAAGAATGATCTTGAAATTTTGGAATCTTGGGTACATCAGAAACCGAGCCCGAGCATAAACATATCTCAGTGATAATGAATAGCTAAGTTAATCGATGTATCGAGTTCATGACATTTAACTATATGAATTTTGTAGACATGGATTCAACTAGTAAATAGAATTACACAATCTACAGACTAAGATGAAGGTTTACATCTGTTCGAGAAAGCTCCAAGATTCTTCGTATTGAAGGGTCGATCTATAGAACTCGGTTTGGGCGAAAAGGGTCGTCACTCATTCTACGATGAAAGGAATATGCAGAATAGAAAACATAGAAAAGGAGAAAACTGTTAAAAATTCTCATGAAAATGAATTTACTGAGATAGTCATCATCCCTCTGCCTAGGTAAGATGAGATAAACAAGGGCAAAAGATTCTGAAACTTGCCATACCGGCATTCATCAAGTTCAAAATCACTCTCATGACACATGTCAACATTGGGCTGAAAAATAATGCAAGTTCATACAGCATGAGAATGCATCACAAGCGTATTAATTTGTTTGAAAGGAATAATGCTTAATTTAAAAGCAGCAAGTACTTTTCATAGTCAAAATCGATGATTATCTCTGATTTCTCAACTTGGCGTAAACATGACACGACTATAATAACTAGAAAAGGGAAAGGAAAAAAAAAATTAAAATCCACAGTTCAGTCGTAAATATAAGATAAATTCAAGAATCCATTTTCAAGCACCGACGACTTCAGTAGCACCCTCGACGACTTCTTCTGCAGGCCTATCTACCTTCACGCCAACATCTTCAGAATAGTCACCATGAACCTATATAGTCAACAAAAAGGTTGGTTGCTCGTAATGAAGAAAGAGTTTTTGCAACAAAATTAATTTGAACAGGCAAAAGGTTGAAGAGCAGATTTAATAATTAATCTATGAATTAAGGAGCCAAAATGGAAGGTAAAGTCATAAGTAGGCAGATTGTATACCTCCATCAACTTTCCAAGATCAAACTTGGGAGCTTTCAAGATCTTGACCTTCCGAATGAAAACATTCTGTAGAGGGTATATGCTAGATGTTGCCTTCTCGATTTCCTTTCCAATTAATTCAGGAATAAACTTACGGACCAACTCTTTCAGATCACATGATGTTGCCTGGTTGACCATGATCTCCCTCATCTTTCGACGAATCTGTAATAAAAAACTATAGTTAACAAACGGTACAATACAAGTCTTCAACCCCAATCTCGTTCCATGTCCTTCAAAATCAGGCTCGATACATACAAGCATATTTTTCACGATACAATACCACAAAAACATAGATAAAGGTGCACAGCAATATTAGATAGTAGCATAAAATAACATTCAGAAAATGAATTACTTGATGTTCTTTTCGGCATGCACTACTGAGTTACAAAAGAAGGTAGACTTCGAATCTGGAATCTCTATTTTTTTTTAATAAAAAATCTACAACGGAGTAAAATACTACAAGGATAAAATTAGCACTAAGAAGATACATGGCTTGGGATATATAACCACAGCTTCGCATCTAACAACCCAGCTGAACCAAAATTAAAGTAGCATCAAGAAGGTAATGGCATGCTTAAGAAAGGTTGTAAACAAGTCACCCAACTAAAAGCGACCTGAATTAGACGGCAACTTCCAAATAGCACCCCAATGTGCAGTGCCTAGTCCATACACTAACTAAATCATTGCCAGTTCGTTCACAACAATGTACAAGAAATGACCCCTACATGCCACTGTTTAAGATAAATAGTTATCCAGAAGGCTTTTAATTCATCCATAACTATTAAATTCAATAAGATCCTTCACAGTAAACTCAATTTAGAAATCTAGATCAGTAAAAACTTTAATGTGGGAGGAAAAAACATGCAGTTACCTGTCTAATCTGACTGGATTGCGCATAACAGGTCCTTTTGACCTGGTTTGGGCGTCTCTTCGTGAACCCAATGCAAAACATTCTCAGAGTGTAACTATCAGTGGTCTTAACATCCACATGAGCTTCAATCAACGTATGCCACTTCCGTACCAATGATCTCAATTTGTCAGTAGTGAAATTCATTCCCTGTAAAACAAAGGAAGCTTATGAGCATTCTTGAACTCAATAAACTTTAATATTTATATCATTTGATATTCATTTCCAAACATGAAAGAACCCACTCATACCCAGAAATTAGTCAGAACATTCCTTCCTTGAACATCTTCAGCTCTCAATCTAATCTTTCTGTAAGCGTGCTCCTCATCGTCCTGGAGGTCAGCCAGTGATACCTCAAACACTCTGTGTTTAAGCCCCTCAGAAGCAATCTGTTGAAATAACCATTATTATTAGTATCATTAGCATTTTGAAAAACACAAACATGAAGTAACAGTATCAACCCATGAAGACAAATAATTGCCATAACAATCTACAAGTATAATCATACAGTCCAGAATCTAACATCAAAGCAGTCGATCCAGAAAATCCTGAGTGGTGAGAATACTAGGCAAACACCCCATCTAGTGCTAATTAATGTTGTCGTCAGTAAACCCTACGTTACTGGACCTACACTTCTTTCCTGTGCTTACAAAGTGTCAAGCGCTTGAACACGAAATAACATCCAGACGCCTTCGTTTAAGAGACAATACAGCGACCCTTCTTAAAACAAGAGTCTTCCACATGAAGATTGCAAACGAAGGCCATTACATAGTAGAATGTACCTTGGTACCCTGCGTGCGAGTAACGAGAGTCTTCCCGACGTTCTTGACATTGAAGACAGAGGGTGCCTTGATATCATACCAATCCTTCTTCGCAAACGGATCAACACTAAAGAACCCACACAGAAACGAAACTAAATAAGTTAATCTCCATAGATTGAGTATCATTAACTATAAGAGAATAATTGAATTAAACTATAACCCAATATTAGATACCCAGATCTGTTCTTATATGTTGGAGAAGAAAATACTTACGTCTTCTTCTTGCCTCCCTTCTTTCCTTTCGAAATCCTCTTGTTCTTACTGCAAGTAGAAGAAAAATAATGGCATCAGTGAAGACTCTAAAGGGGAAGTAGGCGACAGAAGAAACAGAGACGAACGGTACCCGACAGCCATGGTTAGAGTAGTTGAGAAGCTTGGAGCAACTGCAGAGGAAAAATAAAAACCAGCGAGAGAGAAACGGCCGCCCCCAAAAACCCTAATAAGGTCTCTTTAAATAGGTCCTCGGTTTTTTCTTTTTTCTTTTTCTTTTCTTTTTTAACAAAATTAATTAGGTTTGCTTATCCAAATTCATATTTGTTAATTGCTTGCATAAATAATAATAAATTAATAAAAATATTTAAAAAATTTTAAAAAAATTTCAATTGGTCTAAAAATAATAATTATAAATCTTTTAAACTTTCAATAATATCTTTAAATTAAAAAAAATTATAAATATATTTACCAAATTATAATTATTAATATTTTATTTTAAAAAATGTTTCTACTTAACGTTTTGAAATAATATGAAGGGTCGAAGAATGATCATATATTAACGATAAAAAAAATGAACATCTTTTTTAAATAATTTAAAATGTATTAATGAAATTATAATGGATTCTATTATATGAACACGACTCTCCATCGTAGTAAGATATTGTCCACTCTCATACACCTCCTCTTAATTGAGGCTCGATTCCTCTTCTTTTGGAGCCATTTGTTCGACATTTGAGGATTTGACACGACTAAGTTTATGACATGACTCTGATACCACGTTAGATGAACACGAGTCTCCACAATGGTATAATATTGTCCATTTTGAATATAAGCTGTCATTGTTTTGCTTTCAGTTCTCCAAAAAGACCGGAGAGTATTATTTGATTATAAACACGATCATTCCTCTTTCACCCTCCAACAGATTCTATCCAAAAATATAAGTACAATATTTTTTAGATTTAAAATAATAATAATAAAAAAAATATTATTAAAATTTTTAAATTTTACCTCCATTTTTATTAGTTTAGCTTAAAATAAATGAAGATAATTAAATAAACAAAAACAAACTTGAAATCTCGAATTTGGAAGGAAGAAGACGACGCCCCAAGGATTCTGCTCTTTGTATTTGTGTATTTTTGTTGGCGCCATCAATTTTCAGTGCACGTAACTTGAATAGAGAACAACAATGGCGGAAGCAGCTACAGGTAACAGTGGGAGAGGGGCGGAGCCGTCGCTGAAAGACAAGGGCAATGAGTTTTTTAAAGCAGGGAACTATCTCAAAGCTGCTGCACTTTACACACAAGCTATCAAACTAGACCCTTCGAATCACGCTCTTTATAGGTATATTACCCTCTCACTCTCTCTTGCTTGATACAGTTTGCATAAAAAATCAGAATATTGTTCTTATTGGGTTTTTCTGTTGCACTATGTTATTGATTCAGACAATTGGGATTGGATGTGCATACAATGCTTCTTCCGATCTAAGGATGTTATCTTTGTGAAGAACTCAAACTTTGATCTCCCAGTAGCTTATCGACAAGATGAGGTTATAAAATGCTTCTGTGGGTTGCTCTCTGTTCAGAATTGTTGGGAGAGCACTCCAAACATCGACTAATTAAGAGGTTGATCATGGGTTTATAAGTAAAGAATTTCTTTATTGGTATGAGGCATTTCGGGGAAATCACAAGCAAAATCATGAAAGGTTGTGTTCAAAGTGGACAATATCATACCATTGTGGAGGTTTGTGATTCTTAGCATGGTATCAGAGTTATGCCATTACCTTAGCCATGTCAATAGAAAGTTGTGAGCCTTTGTTCGACGGGAGGATTGTTGAGGATTGTTGGGAGAGGAGTCCCACATTGACTAAGCTAATTAAAGGGTTAATCATGGGTTTATAAGTAAGGAATACATCTCCATTGGTATGAAACTAGTTTATAAGTAAAGAATATATCTCCATAGGTAAGCTATCGTCCTCAAGTACCTTGCCACTAAGGTTTTGGAACTGGTTAGGAATGCAACACTGACAACAAGAAAAATAGGATAAATCCTAAGCATGGTCTTTTAGTTGTGAAGAACATTGAGGAGCTCGAAAAATTGCTTAAAAGAGTCACCATTGCAAGTGATGCAAGTGTAGTGAGCACGAGATAGGCAAGTAACACACATGGAAGTGCTCAAAGAGGAGTGAGCACAAGAGGGCAAGCAATGCCCGTTGATGTGCTCCAAGAGAAGTGAGCA